TGTGAGATGCATCAACAGTAACACCAACACCCAGGTAGTAGGCAGCTACCAAACAGGGAGGTACTGCTGCCTGGGAAGATATTGGAAGCATAATGTGTTGTCTAATGGTAGACCCTGCTGCCATATGTGACCAAGTCCCAGGTTGCTGATCTATCTTTCTGCCTCATTTACACACAATTGCAGGGTCTCAACTGTCTCTCTTACTATTGACAACACCACAAATAAAACCGTACTCATTCTTGATCTGTTGTATTCATTCTATTTTATTCTCCTATGTCAGTTGATATTAATACTGAAGCGGGGCCTTCTCGGATGGGTCCCACTGGTCGGGAAGGTTGTGGACCCCAGGGCCGACCTGATCATCATCAAGTTACTGGGGCCTCAACTGACGCCACCGTGGCTACTGAAAGATCGGCTTTTTTTACACTTCATTTTTCCAACATTCGCAGCCTGAGATCCAATTTTCCTTCTGTGGAGCACCATCTATTAAACTCTTACCCCGACCTCTTACTACTATCTGAACTTCAACTGACCAAAGCAGCTTCACCCAAACCTTTTCAAGTCTCCAACTACAGCCTTTATACCTCCTTCCGTTCTAAAGGAGGTGTATGTGCCTACTGCATCACACGTACACCTATAGCTCGACTCACGGATCTTGAATCTTCCCTTTATGATGTCATCCGACTCAAAATATCTCTACCTACAGTGACTATTTTTCTTTGTTTCCTAAACTGTTCTCCCAACTCTACCAACTATTTAGAACTCTTTGACTATCTCACTTCTTGCCATGAGTCGTTGCTATCCACACAGCCCAACACCGAGATCCTCTACCTAGGGGATTTCAATGTACAGCACAGAGAGTGGCTTGGCTCTGCAAGGGATGACCCAGGTGGAGCTGAGGCACTCTCTTTTTCCCTACTTAATGATCTGGAACAAATAATCAAACACAGTACACCTGTTCCTGATCGACAAGATCAACTTGCTAACATTCTTGATCTTTGTTTTACCTCTAACCCCTCACACTATTCAAACTCAATTTTTGCCCCCTTAGGGTCTTCTAATCATAATCTTATTTCTATTAAATCAAACTGGGCACGACCACCTCCCCCACCCCCCTCTAAACGTCAACTATGGCACTATCGGAGGGCAAACTGGCAATCCTTGCGAGAATTCTTCACCGACTTTCCTTGGGATGAATGTTGCTTTTCCACTCGGGACGCCTCAGTATGTGCTGAAAGAATTGCTGTGGTTATACAGGGTGGTATGAGTGCATTTATCCCATCTTCTACCAAAACTTTCACATTACAATCATGGTTTGATCGCTCCTGTTCTCTTGCTTGCAGGGTGAGAGATAGGGCATATCGAGCTATGAAACTAACTATCTCCTATTACCCACACCTCTTTCATTACTTCTAGGAATCGTTGTAAGGCTATTCTTCGTAGGGCCAAGCGGAATTTTATATAAATAAAGACCGCTGTCCTGACTAATTCTTCCTCTAGTAAATCCTTCTGGTCCTTAACCAAAAACATCTGTAACAACTTCTGCAAGCCTTCTTTTCCTCCCCTCTTCCATCCCAATAACTCTATAGCCAACTCTCCCCCTGAGAAAGCCAACCTCTTTGGCACCTTATTCTCCTCTAATTCTACCTTAGACGATTCCCACTCTACCCCTCCTACCCCTGCACCTCCTACTGAACCTCTGCACTTTCCTATAATCTCCACTCACAGGGTTGCCGGTGTGTTATCCAGGTTGGATGTGAGTAAGGCGCATGGACCGGACGGAATACCCCCTTGTCTTCTGAGGGAGTGTGCTGAAGCTCTGGCCCCTGTGCTTGCTCACCTCTTTCGCCTTTGCCTCAAAACCCAAACTTTTCCTTCTTCTTGGAAGCCTGCCTTGGTTCAGCCCATCCCGAAGAAGGGTGACCATTCTAATCCCTCTCACTATCGCCCCATTGCCCTAACTTCATCCATCTCTAAGATTTTCGAAACTATCTTGAACTCCCATTTTCTCCGTCACCTTCAACGCCATTCTCTTTTGTTGGATCACCAGTATGGCTTTTGCCAGGTGAGATCTACTGGTGATCTGCTCTCCTATTGCACCCATCTTTGGTCATCCTCTCTTAGCGATTATGGGGAAACTTTTGTCGTGGCCCTCAACATCTCCAAAGCATTTGACAGGGTATGGCACAAGTCTTTGCTTTCTAAAGTTCCCTCTTATGGTTTCTCTCCCCCACTTTGTTCTCTCATCTCTAGCTTCCTTGAGAACCGATCCATGGCAGTTGTTAAGGGATCGATCTCTCGCTCTTTCTCTACCAGTAGTGGTGTCCCACAGGGTTCTGTTCTTTCACCTACTCTCTTCCTTTTTTTTATCAATGATTTACTTCACACTACAACTAATTCTATCCATTCTTACGCTGATGATTCTACTCTTCACTCTTCTTCACAGTTTCCCCTTCCTCCTAACTCTCAAACTAGATCTGTTTCCAGAGCTGATATCATTACTTCTATCAATGTGGATCTGTGCAGAATCTCTGAATGGGGAAGTACAAAAATAATAAAACTCAATATTTACCAATTACACTTTGTAAATTAGATGATCTCCCACCAATCACATTTCAGGACGCAATCATTCTGCCAAATTCTAAAATAGATATGCTTGGCCTCACCATTTCCTCTAATATGTCATGGAAGCCACACATCCTCAACATTGCTAAAGCTGCCTCCCGAAAGCTGGGAATGCTGTACAGATGCCGTAGTTACTTTACTCCTGAGCAGTTGCTTCAAGTATATACGGGATTCATTCGTCCTAACTTGGAGTACTGCTCTCATATCTGGGGTGGCTCTTCTTCTGTCCAACTGTTAGATAGGGTGGAATCAAAGGCATTTTGTCTTATTAACTCTCCTCCTTTAGTCGACAATCTCTCTTCCCTTTCTCTTGCCATCCTGTGTACCACCGGCAAGGCCGTGGGCTCGTAACACATGTCTTGCCCGCGGTGCCCATCGTTTCTCTGTGGATGTCGGTCACACTAGAATAAACCGTTATAGTACAGTCATGCGCCGGTTAAAGTCCGACCGAACGTCTGATCGCATATACGTCTGTGCCCCAAAAAAAATCCGTGACGCCTGCTGGACCACCACTCCACGACCCCCTGAGGGAGACACAATGATCCTCCCCATACTGGTCAGATATTATGTGTTAAAGGAGTATGCTTCTTATCTTAGGCTATTTTTAAACATTTGCCTCCAAGTGTAATGTTAACCTACATCTATTGAGGATAAAATCTTTCACCCACAAATTGACAATAACACATTTGCTGTAATCAGACATATCTAGTTGCCTCAACAATTGCAACTCCAGTTGCAATTGGGGTTGCAATTTCAAATTCTGTGTCATTACTACGAAATAAAGAAGTATCTGGTGTACTGCACTCTAAAATTAAGAGAAAACGGACGACTGAGGAGTCCTGAAGTGAGAGAAAATGGACTCCTATGACGGGGCACTCAAATAAAGAGAGACATAGCTACATGTTTTGTGGACTACCCACTTTACATTATCCTTTTCATCACTTTGTAATAAACCTAGCCATGCCTATGTGTGTTTATGATATTTACCATAACATTATACAGTATATATATATTTAGTGGGTCTAAATGGTTGTAAAATGGGAAACTTGGGGTTGGGTGCCTGGAACCCCCATTAGAATAAATCCGATAGGTTTATGTAATTTCGGACAACGTCCATTTCGGTTAACATCACGTTTCCAAGAACACATCTAGGACGTTAACCGGCGCATGACTGTATATCCTTCTTTCCTCACACAGCCAAACTGTGGAATGCTCTGCCTTTTTCTGTGTTTTCACACTCATACAATCTGTCTTACTTTAAACAGCTGGTTTTCTGGCATCTTCGTTGTGTAGATTAATATAAACTTTTCTTTTTCTATTTCTAATTTCTTTTTCATCTTATTTTTTTGCCCCCCAGGCCCCGTTGTGGGTCAATGACTTGTGTCCGGGTAGGCTATTACCCGTAAAAAAAAAAAAAAAGACAGTACTGTACTTTTTTTCTTTCTTTTTTTTTATTGGCACTCCACATCCTGTGTAAGGTGAAGCGCAGAAGCGTTTACAGCACCCAACAGGGAAACATGCTAAGTTCATGCTTGCCTTTATGTCTCATGAGTTAAGGGCGTAGAAGCCTGAAGAGTCAATGGTTTTATATCATCACGTTATTGGAAGCTCCAACAACTTGTCCCTGAATACGAATTTACAACTTTCAATTTACAGCAGGTACCTACTTTACTGCTAGGTGAACAGGGACCAAGGGAGGCTGGGAAGAGTGTCCAAACAACTTTCCACCGGCCCGGGAATCGAACCCGTGGCATCTCGCTTGCGAAGCAAGAGCGGTACCACTCTACCCACCGGCGCCCCCCAGTAATGTACTATACACCTAAATAAGATAACTACAGTACAGTAACAAATGACTGCTGGCAACACACTATACTATTTGTATAATATAGCACTGTATAGTAAACTGAGCTTCTCAAGAAATATAAATAATAAAAAAATTGGAAGTAAATGTGAAGTGATTTTAAACACATACTTAGTTTTTGACAATGTACAGTAATTATAAATATGAACCAAAGTTTTCATGGTATATTAAAAAACATCAATGGAGGAACAGACAACAATAGACACAGTATTACTTCTACTTGATAATTCCTCTCCCTCTTTGGTGACACTCCTAGTTTAGTGAGATGCCTAACTTAGAAGAAACACTTAGAGGAGCAGAGAGGTGGATGGGGAAATGGACAATACTATGATGGCAAATGCCACATCATTCTGGTAGGTGGAACTGCCCCGTGACGCTCTAAGCCATAAATACAGTGACCTACGACCGTACCATCAAAGGTTTAAAACTGCAGACATAAATGCCACATATTACTGAGGATCATTGACCAAGAGAACGTAAAAAGCCCTACACGAGGATAGGGTCACTAGCCTACCCTAAGGAGCCACTTTCCACAAGCCCTTGCCTGCTGGGTCGCTTCATTGGGTCAAACAGCAACAGGATCCCAATAATAATTAGTCCAATAGCCACCCAAGTGTAGATCACAAGAGCTGAAACGCAAGATCCAAGGGATTAAAAATAACATAATACAGTACTGTACAGTATTAGACGGATTATTTAAGAAAAGGACACAATGAGAGGCAAGACACATTAGCTGTGTGTAACCTGACACACACACAGTACACCTGGACAGTCAGGGTCTAATGAAGCAGCTCATTTACTGTATATTTTACTTGGGGTAAGAAAATGGAAGAAATATGAACAAGGGCCTTCTGAGATGGTATGAACAATTTTTTTTTTTTCAGGGATTAGCCTGCCCGGGCACAGGTCACTGACCCACATCAGGGCCTGGGGGGCGAAAATATTATAATTATAATTATAATAATAACTATTATTATTATTATAATAATTCATAAAAATTAATAAGAAAATACTAAAAATAATAATAATAACCATAAGTAAATACAAAAACAAAAAAATAAATCAAGAATGAGAAATGATATACAGTCAACCCTCACTTTACGCGGTTAATGTAACCCACAGGGTACCGCGGAAAGTGAGAAACGCGTAAAGTGAATAACATAACATATGGGATTAAATGAAATAGAGAACCAGCTGACCCCCAAACTCCACTTTTTCCGACACAATACCTATGTTCTAGTAAAAATAACATCTTAATTTTATGATGGTACATGCACACAATTAGTACTTAAGAGAAATAGAGAAATACAGTCGCCAAGTTAATGTCCATTCAAATAATGGACTCAACTCCCTCCCCCTCTTCTCACACTACACTCGCTGGCTCTTCCCTCTCTGAGAAATTTTTGGGGGAAAACCAGGAAGAGTAATAAATAATACCTCAAACTAAAGTTAAGATAATATAATTGACATTGCTGGATTCCTTGTAAGACCAGGAATATTTTGAATATAAATGTCATATATTTTGCACAAAAGATAACATATTTACTCAGAGTAAACATTATATCTTTAATTTGTATGTCTAATGCAAAATCTATGACGTTTATATTCAAAATGATCATCAAATTGTAAGAATTCCAGCAATGTAAATTATATTCTGGCCGGATAATTTGTATGAATTTTATGAGCTAAATAAAAAAATTATACTTTACCCGCATAAAGGGGTACACCCACCGCGGAATGTGAGCATCCTGGGTTCTGGCAGGGCACCATGTAAACGTGGAAACGCGGAATGTGGGACCGCATAAAGTGAGGGTTGACTGTACATTATGTATGTTGTGTTGTCAAAGTAAGAGAAACAATTGAGACCCTGCAATTGTGTGTAAAGGAGGCAGAAAGTCAGATCATCATCCTGGGACTTGGTCACATATGGCAGCAGGGTCTACCATTAGACAACACATTATGCTTCCAATATCTTCCCAGGGGGTAGTACCTCCCTGTTTGGTAGCTGCCTACTACCTACCTACATGCTAACACAATGGCAGACAAAAGATATAAGTAAGTAAAAATAAAGAACTATTCCTGATACAGTATTGTATAACCAAAAGTTTAGATCAGGAGACTCAGTGTAAAGCCAGGTTCAACCACAATGATTATGGCTACAAGTGATTTATAAAGCTCAAACCTTCCTGTTTTAACCCCTTGTGTATGAGGTGTGTGTGTCTCTCTCTGTGCTCAACACAACCATCTGGCATTAGTCAAGTAATATATTTATTTTATTTTATTTTATTTTTATTTTTTGGAAAATTTATTTTTTTCACGATTTAACCCCGTGGGGGGAGGGGTACTGCCAGCAGCACCCTAACCCGGGGCTTAAGGGTTAAGTAACTCATTATATAAGTTGTTGTGGAACTCGTCAACCTCAGATCTCGTCATCAGGTCATTCTCAACAGTCAGGTCTCTGGGTAAGGTGAGATCGCCCTCTGTGGGTACATTTTGTGAGGTCACCTCATGTGAGGTCAAGTAATTCACCCCCAAGCGTGATACCCCTTCTCCCAGCTGCCTCTTCAAACTATCAAAGTTTGCCCTTCTGAAATCTGGTACTTCAGTGGAATTTTCCTTGCGTCTGCTCTGAAGTTCTAACTGGAATTTAATTTCTTTGTGATCGCTGTTAGCAAGTTCGTTCCCTACCTCGACATTACTAATGAGGTTTTCTCTGTTTGACAGAACTAAATCGAGTATATTATTACCCCGGGTGGGTTCGGTTATATGTTGGCTTAGGAAACAGTCCTGGATTGTTTCAAGAAAATCCTATGATTTTGAGTTACCCGTAAGGTCAATCCAATCTATTTAGCTAAAGTTAAAGTCGCCTACTATACAGACTTTGCTATGTATGGAAGCCCTGCGCATTTCATCCCAAATAAGTCGCTCATTAACTCTATCAAGATTAGAAGGTCTATATATTACTCCCGTGATTAATTTTTCCCAACCATTGATTAGTTCTATCCAAATTGTTTCTGTAATCTGCTCAGTTTTTATTTCCTTATTTATTTCACACTTCAGATTATCCCTGACATAGATTGCTACTCCGCCTCCTTTCCTAATCTGCCTATCGGTATGGAATAATTTGCAACCTGCAATTTGGTATTCGACAGGTAACTCACATGAGTCTAGGTTGATCCATGATTCGGTGAATGCTATTATATTGATTTTTTCGGTACATACCAACACCCTGATTTCATCCATTTTGTTTCTCATACTTCTACTGTTAGCGTAGTAGACATTTAAGTTAGTCGTGTTCTGAGTCCTCTCTTTGACGTGTTTAGGTTTTAACTCCCTGCCTAATTTAGTTTTGTCATAATTTCTAGCACTATTTCCCTGTAACCTTTCACTTTGTTTACCCGCTCCCACTGCAGTCTCCTCCACCCCCGTGCTCATATTTTCTCCTAACAGTTTAAAGACTTCGACCAAAAACAGTGACGTGTTATATTCTTCCAAAGTGTATTATAATATCCCGTAGTGAGACGTTATACATTGATTGATTTTTATTTTGTCATCCAAAGAAGATGTACAAAATCTTTTTTTTTATATCGATTACCAATATTGAGTTATTGATAGTTGCTGAATTATGGCAACAATCCTGTGAGCTGAAGTGAACATTAGTTTCTGCAAATGATTTGTTCACTGCCCAGGGTGTGACAGGACGTGACTGCAGTTGTTGTGACTACTCATCAATCAACATCCTGACAACAAAATTCTTTCGTTTGGCGTGAGTAACCCCCAGTTACCAGCACCACCCTAGTGATGACACATCTCTGATCACTAGAGATGGTCTCAGCATTCTGAGGTATGGTGTGGTGGATGCACTAGTGTACCCAGTGAACCCCAGAGTCCTTGAGTTCACTGACAGGGAGCGGCATTTTGCTGTACTCAGTATTTTCGTGGACACTGATCCAGTCACCGACCTTCGCATCAGCTGTGTCTCCTGTGAGTGACACACACAAGTCTACTGGATTGCGGCAACAATTTCACATTTTCAAGAAATTCTACAAAGGATTCTTCAATCAAGCTACAAGGAATAGGTAGTTTAGGTATACATTATATATATTCCCACATTAACATATTCAAAGACATAACTTCACACAGATAGACATCCTGTAGGTTATACCAATTATTATAAATGCCTTACTTATTTTAAATATACTGACGTAATATAATTTACAGTATTTATTTTCACCAGTTCAGCTATTGATACTTTAATTATTTTAATTATAATTTATATCAATTTACTGTAAATGGATGGACAAGGTTACTTTTGTGGTTTGTATCGAAATAATTTTTCAAACCTTAGGCATAGAAAATGCGAACTTTTTTTCCCAGGAAGGATAATAATGTTAATAATTTTCAAAACTACAAATAGGATAATAGTTTTATAATTATGTTAATAATGTAATTTTAATGATGTCATAGACATCTTTTCAAACTACAAATGTGACAGTTATACAGTAATATTTTTGTCTTTAAGTCAGAATCATCCAATTTTGACATTGTACATAATATACTCTCCATAAGGCATTGCAGACTAGGACTTGGAGTAGCTCTTCAACCGCAGGTGTCAGCTTCCCTAGTTTAGTGTTTACACACATATGCACGTAACACGGTTAGGTTTATGTACAGTGGAGTCTGCATTTACGCGGTAAATTGAACCCGTGGAGGTCCGCGTAAAACGAGAAACGCGTAAATGAAATAACAGAACATATGGGATTAATTGAAATAAGAGACGGGGCCGACCACCAAACTCCACTTTTTCCGACACAATACGTACCCTGTAGTCAAAATAACATCTTAATTTTATGATGGTATGCACACACAATTAATATTTAAGAGAAATATCAATAATATTAGGTTTTTTAACACTTACGTTAGTAGAAAAGATGGCTGGGCACACGGGGATGGGGGGTTGGTTCCGAGGCAGAGGGCAGATTATTGGCCCTCACCTGTATCAATTGTATCACTATCCACCACAGAGGCTTGCAGGGCCTCTTTGTCAAACCCCTCACAGTCCATATCTTCACTATCACTGACTTGGGCCGGCTGTGGTGGGTGGCGGGTGAAGAACTCGGTAATGTTTTGATGACTGGGCGACCTTGTGCGCACCCTGCCCGCACCGCTTCCGGCGTAAATGACCAAAATTACCTGGTAATTAAAGCATTTCATTCTGGCAAGGCACCGCGTAAATGACCAAACTTGTAAACAAAAGCTGCGTAAATGCAGACTATACTGTACAGTACAGGGTTTTACTGCGAGTTTAGTGTATTCCTCACGGAGCTTGGATGGTGTGACCGAGCGATGTAATAGCCCCTGTCTTATAGGCAGAAGTAGTTATATAAATGGGTTAATTACATTTGATTTATATACTCTATCACCCTCTGTAACTTTCCACTAGATATGAGGTAGCATGTTCAGAGGACGTGATAAAGTGTGTCCACGGGAAGTCATGTCACTTAGTGCTGAGCTAAGGCATTAAGTAGCCGGCTCTCTGGCCACCTCTGGCGGCAGTAGTTTGATATCCTTGATGAGAGGAAGACGTTAATGAGAGCCATCGTGGATGGTTCCGTCTTCCCTCGAGGGAGGACGTAATTTACCGTTCTCCCTCAACGGGTATTACGGGGATTGACACTCAACAGTCAGTGTCGATCCCGTAATACTGGTGACCACAACATCACCAGCCACAGTCAAGCTCTGTGACTGGTGACCACAACATCACCACAATAATCCATAGTGTTGCTTATATGAATCAAACTTAATCAAGGATTGTTGGGTCAGATAAGTCGCATTTTTTTAAGTAACTTTCAAAGAACTTTTAAGATGGGTGAACCTCAACACCAGGAGGCTGGGTTGAGTTAAGAAAGGTACACAGTACAGTACAGAGTATAACCTCAGGTGCATGAAAGACAACTTCAAGCTCACATGATTTCAGTACAGTATTTCAGGAAGAAAAAGATTATGTAGTGAGCACTTACATCAGAGGATGCAAGCACTATAAGGAGTTTACTGTACTGTCAACCCCAATCATGACTACATATAAGGAGACACAAGAGGTGAGTGACACTACTGCCTTGTACCTTACCTGTTCTTTGTTAACTGTGACCATATTGCTCTCAGTTTGATGCCAAACACCTGTTGTTTAACACATTAATATACTGTACACACAGGAAAGACTCATCTGAATTTACCAATTAATAATTAAGAAATTCTGGACTGGACAAAAATTTGGGAGTGAGAGATGGAGAGGCAGAGCAGTGACATTAATAATATGAGGACCTGCAGGTGAACACTACAGTACTCAGGATTGTGATACATTATTGAACATGTTACCTTGCATTAAGAGAGGCAGAGCAGTAACATTAATAATATGAGGACCTGCAGGTGAACACTACAGTACTCAGGATTGTGATACATTATTGAACATGTTACCTTGCATTAAGAGAGGCAGAGCAGTGACATTAATAATATGAGGACCTGCAGGTGAGCACTACAGTACTCAGGATTGTGATATATTATTGAACATGTTACCTTGCATTAAGAGAGGCAGAGCAGTGACATTAATAATATGAGGACCTGCAGGTGAACACTACAGTACTCAGGATTGTGATACATTATTGAACATGTTACCTTGCATTAAGAGAGGCAGAGCAGTGACATTAATAATATGAGGACCTGCAGGTGAACACTTCAGTACTCAGGATTGTGATACATTATTGAACATGTTACCTTGCATTAAGAGAGGCAGAGCAGTGACATTAATAATATGAGGACCTGCAGGTGAACACTACAGTACTCAGGATTGTGATACATTATTGAACATATTACCTTGCATTAAGAGAGGCAGAGCAGTGTCAGGCTTACAGTGGACCTGACCCGTCAACACCCACACACTCCCCATTATGTTCCAGGCCACCTCTGGTATACCAACCATTACTCTGTAAAACACAAAACAACTGAGATAAAGAGAAAAAACACTAAAATAATGTGAATAGCATTCATAACTTTCCTGTACCTCCTCCTCCTTCCACCAAGCTACAGTAACGACCATGGTTAACTGGCTACTTGTTAACCCTTTATGTTTTATGGTGAATGAATGAGAACTGGGCCTCACCTCCCTCTACCACTGTGTGTCTTCCATGTCTTCTACAGTACATGAGAACTGGGCCTCACCTCCCTCTACCACTGTGTGTCTTCCATGTCTTCTACAGTACATGAGAACTGGGCCTCACCTCCCTCTACCACTGTGTGTCTTCCATGTCTTCTACAGTACATGAGAACTGGGCCTCACCTCC